TGAAAATGAAGATATCAGGATGTTTCCATGTGAAAATAGCCCTGATACGTTATTGCTGCACCAATAAAAAGCCATCTTTATTGTAATAATTGATTTAATATAAAATCATCATATAGTGGTGGGACAACTTCTAAGATTTCCATCTGAAAAATAAATGTAGTTAGTAAGAAGTTCATCACAACTCATAGGATCCTTAAGTACTGATCGCTATTCAAATAAGAATAAGAAAAGGATGAAAAAGTTTATGTTTTGATCAAGAGATCCGATTTGTTAATTTAATGGTTTTTGCGTTGTAAGTCATTCTGAAACCAAAACTGAAAAGTTTGGTCCATGTTGAAAAGTCAAAATTCTATTGCCAAAATTTGCTAAATCTCAATTCCCATTGATTAAGTCGATTATTTACTAATATCTACTGACATTATTCTGATTGTTACATATAAATTTATTAAAAAATTTTTTTTTAAATTCCTAATATTAGGAAGCTTCTGCAATCACCCTTGAGATAAAATGCCAAGTAAACTGTTAGTGATTATTTGTTATTATTGTTTTTTCATGACAATGAATATGTTATCTGTTGATCAGATAAAAAATGAAATGGTATAAATAAAAAATGAAAAGTAAAAAAAAATACGTCCACACTAATTTTGTGTTAAAAATTAAATGAATATTGTTATTGCTATAGAAGTTATAAAAACGTGGCCATATTTTGCAAACTTTATTGCCATTTTATCACATTTTATCTAATTACAAATACGCCAATTTGAGGAGTTTCAAAATCAGTTTTCTCATAACTAATAACTTATTGTTAGATTTACGACATATTGAAGTACCACCACACATGGCAATCTTCATTGTTGTTGATCGCAAATACTCTTTCGAATATTTCAACTATAATGCAAACATAACAATAAATTTCAGTTTCAGACATTTACAGCTGTTGAATTAATCAAGCTTAACATTTAAATCTTTCAATTTCAATTAAATCTATCGACTATAAAAACGTTCATTTTTTATAGAATGTCTTGGACTCATAAGTGCAACACCAACTATTGAAAATTTAATAAAACAAATAGTACTTTTTCATGCTTTGCAAGAATACGCAAATTCTAAAATGTTACCGTAGAGGGCATAATTTACATCGCATTTAAATGAAAGCGTTTTCTTGGTCGTTCTCTACTCAAGTATGATGGTGCCATCGTGTCAAGAAAATTACCATTTTACTTCAAAAAAGTGCACAATTCTTGATTTCAGACAAAAAGTAAATTTAATATTTATGTAAATGTATAATATATATATATATATATATATATATATATATATATATATATATAAAATACTAAATACAAAACTTGTTTCTAAAATTATAGTTATATTCAGTGAACATCAGAATGCATTAGCGATAAATAGATAGAAATCTTGGTCTTAACGCCAATCAGGTTTACAAAGTCAATTATTGATAATTGAATTATTATGTTTTGTAAGCACCAAAATAAAATTGGACAATCTTTTCAATTGGCAATTGGCAATTGGCAAATTTGTTTAATTCAATAAACTTTTACTACATCATATTAAGAGATGCTCAATTTCACCCTAAATATTAGCAAAGAGTAGACTTTGACGAGGGCAAAAATTTAAGATTGTAAAAATTATTAAGATATACATAAACACTACATTAGACAACACGAAAATTTTCACATGGAACATAATAGAAAAAAGAAAACGAATGGAAATGTCATATGGAACGCAAGGAAAATATTCAATGAACTTGCAATTGATATCAAGAGGACCAGTGATGGCAATAACTTCAAAAGAAAAATAAAGAAATACTATAAAAAAATTGAAGAGATGTTCAAAGATATTTAAATATAAGGCTTATGAATGTTGTGCAATGAAATAGGTATAAATGATATGTATATTTAAAAATTGTTTCATAATCTCATATACCAGGCACCCGAGATATGGAAATAATGTCGATAAAGGGAAAAAAAACTTTTGTTGCAAAATTGACAACGTGGTCGTTTGTCTCGAGATAGTCGAAGCCAAAATGGCCCGATTTAAGGCGATAGCTGGTTACATATCTTTTGCCCTCTACTTTCAAATATTGTTAAAAATTTCTAGCTTTACCTATCTGTGTTTGAGATATTGGTGGTGGACCTTTAAGCCTCACTCTACCTTGTACAACAAATACAAATAGCATCTACTCATCTGCTGCATACACAATCCATTTTCAATTCAAGACAAATGATCTTTCGGTAACAATTTTAATCCAAATATTCATTATGTCAATAACCCTTGATCGTCAAAATTACTAATGTACAGTTTCGAAGTACATAATTTCGCCACATGATAATTCATCGAGATCTATATCAATTTTATTTGTGGAATTTACGCTACTCGTGAACTACTATAGCGCAACGCAAGGAAGTTCATTACATTCGCGGTAGTGACCGTCGATCGCGCCTACAATTAGCCTATAACAAACTGGTTTGTTTGCTTGCAACACGAAATGTTTCGTCGTAATTAAACCTGCTGCACGATCACGATTTCAAAATCGATACTCAATTTCAGAATTTATCACTATTATGAATCGACTACGCCTTATGGTGTTCTTCTAAACATTTATAAAACTAATTAAATGGAAGAATTTACTCAGAAGTATTTTGCAACATGTAGGTTGCTAATTAATATCTGCAAAATACTTGCAGATATTAATTAGATGCATACATATTAGTAAAAATACATACTTTAAAATAATTTTTTCTGTGTAGCGCGTTCAACCCTCAAGTGGAACTTTGGATATTAGATTAGGTTGGCAACTAAGTAAGTGCAGTCTTTGACTTAGATGGTCTCAAATTGTTAGATTTGTCGATATAGCCCAAATGTAAAATACTTATTGTTAATGAGTAGAAGACAATTTAAATGTCCATCATTGAAACAGTTTTTTTGATCGATTGCGTAATTTTTGTTTGGCTTTTGTTGAAAGATTTTTTTTTCTTTTTGAATATTTTTTTAACAGCAATCAGAACCTTACGTCCTATGAGGTGTTGAGCTGAAACTTCTCCTCACTTTGTATTTTTAGATGGTAACCCAATGGTTAATCCATCTATATTTGATGATTTTTATTATTAGAATTATAGGGCTGATTTTTTATTGGTGCAGCAGTGCCGGGCAAAGGCTATTTTCAATTGGAAACATATTGCTATCTATATTTCGAAGTGAAAATCGTTGTCACTGCTCCCTGACAACAGGCTACTCGAAGTGGGTATCGAACCCGGGACCTCTGATTCAGGTCCCGTCGCTCTTAACCGCTTACCTACGGGCGAGCCCTTTGATGAAAGATGGAAAATCAAATTCAAAATGCTTGTCATATTTTGCTTTTCGGTAGTGACAACGGTTTTTACTTGGAAATATAGATAGCAATATGTATCCAAGTGAAAACAGCCCTATTACGGCATTGCTGCACCAATGAAAAGTCATCACTATTACAATAATTGTAATAATAAAATTTATCACATAGAGGTGAGACAACTGTTTGGGTTGCCATCTATAATAACGTAGTTTGTAAGAAATCCATCACAACAGCTCATACAACACATAAATTTAAATAATAATAAAAAAAATATATATTATGCCTTTTTATTTTTGCAAAGGTAAAAAAGCATTTTCGATGACCAAACTTAAAATAAACAGCTGTATCAAAATTGGTTTGCCAAATTTCGTTCTGGTGATTTTTCACTCGAAGTTAAAAAATACTCTGATCTTCCAGTTGGAGTTAATTACAAAGGAATAGTCTAATTTTACTCTTGAAACCCAACAACACGTTCAAATCTGATGGCTACATTGAACAACTAACTAACTACATTGAACTAAAATTAAACGACAAGTCGAAGAAAAGCGGCCAAAATTGACAAAGATTTAGATAAAGATTTCTTTATTTAGATTTTACTATATTTCTCATTTTACAAGGGATTTGCTCAATTCTCAAACCGTGTTATAGAGAACTTGTTCTTTTAAGTTCTTTTTTATATGGAGATGGTCAGTCTCAAATTTCGAACCGGGGTATAGAAATATCGTGTTATACAAGGGTTACCTGTGAATATATATATATGAGATTGTTCATATCTATGAAGAGAAAATGAAAAGGAAATAAAACAATGATAATGATATATTTAAAACATAAAACAAACACATAAAACTGTTTATGTAAAATTGTTAAATTAAATGTTGATTTTATTTAATTTAAAATAATAAATTATTTCAAATTTTATACAAAACTTTTTTTTAAATACAATGCCTAATGTACTGCGTTTTTATAAGGTATTTTAACATTACTTTTTAATCATCTATCGTATGGATGGCACATGCAAATTAGCACATGTAGGAGCCAATTCTCGGACAAAATAGTATTGTTATGGTGAGACTATGTTATTGGTCAACATACTAATTTTATGAATTGGTAGTCAAGAACTGTTCGATCAGGCTTTTCACACATAAAACCTAACTACTTAAATGAAACACTAGGCTTCACTCATTGGAGTGGACTCTAGATAATTATTTCTTTTCCTTTCTTCTATTATTATTATTATTTTTTTATTTCTTTCGATTGCTATCGTTTGTGTTGCAATAGCTTATAAGATTAAAATTGTATCTTGATTGCTAATTTAATAAATAAATTTGAAAAATAAAAAAATCTTTACTTCGCGTATACGTTATCAAAGAGACATCAGAAAATTGCGCTTATGATAAAATTGTTATTTGACATTTGTACATTTTTGAGATTATATTTTATGAGTAAAAGACCTGATCACACATAGCACAGCAAATACATAGCTTTTCGAGAGTTTCTGTCCACCAACTCATACGATTACAGACCCGTACCATAACATTTCTTTTTTGAACTACAGTTGCCCCTTTAATTTACGTGTTTGTTAATCATATAACTTGTGTATTTACAATGTATCTCCACTTTCAGGTCATTTTAATCGCACAATTAAACGATCATGAGCGCACCCAGCATGCAGTGCGCGAGGTACTTGCACACGGCCGGACGTCGCGGGGCGCACGTGGCCAGCATAGCGGCGCCCAGCGCGGAACAAACTTTCGCTCACGCTCTACCCTACAGCCGCGTACCAGGCCCGAGACCTCTTCCCTTGTTGGGGAACACTTGGAGGTAAATTGTGTGAAGTTAATAGAATAAACTAGCTGTAAGTGGAATTCTGTCTTAAGGCAATTAGGGCATCGTGCCTTAAGGCAAATTGCTGGAACTTCCCGTACCCAAAATTATTATTTTTTTTAAAAAACGATTAACATTTTTGAAAAAAAATTACTTCGAAAAAATTAGATTTTTGAAAAACTATAAATTTGATAAAAAATTACTATTTTTTGAAAAAAAAAAAATTTTATTTGAAAAAAAATTTTTTTTTTGAAAGAAAAAATTTTTTTTTGAAAACAAAAAATTTTTTGGAAAAGAAAAATGTTGTCTTCATTTTGACATATTTTGGAAATTCTGAACTTTTTTTCAATGCAATCGTACTGCTTGAACTGCATAGAGACGAAATGTCACAGCGCCAGTGCCGCGCCGCCGCCTAACGCATAAGCATTGGTACGGAACCCATAGAAATGTGAAAAAAAATTATACTTATTGTTAAAATCTCTATAAAATATCTGATAATTTGATGTGCATATGTCTAGTGATCATTTTTAACCGCCGAATAGCATTTTTTTTTACTTTTTTTATTAGATCTCCGAAACCGCTAGACCTGCCTTCATGAAAATTTGACCAATTCTTCATCTTGTCAATACAAGTAAAATGTTTTTTGAATTATTCAAATCGGACGCTCCGTTCTCTTAAAAACGGATGTACCGTTTTTGGCACTTTTTGCCCCGTATCTTCGGAACGGCTAGACCTGCCTTCGCCAAAAACTAATCAGCACGTCTCCTTATCAATACGAATCGAATGTTTTTTGAATTATTCAAATCGGTTGATCCGTGTTCCCGAAATCGTCGACGAAAATTTGTATCCGCACATACATACACACACATACATACATACATACATACATACATACACACACACACACACACACACACACACACATACATCCTTTTTTTCTAAGGTATGCCAAAATGTTCAGAAACCTCTGAAACGTAAAGATATATAAAAATTTTCATTTTCGATTTTTTTGCGATTACTATAACTTGCCCTACGGGAAGTTAATTAGTGAAGCATGGCATTGTGTTTTAAGGCAAATTGCTGGAACTTCCCGTACCAAAAATTATATATTTTTTTTAAAAAGATTAACATTTTTGAAAGATTAATTAGATTATTGAGAAACTAGAAATTTGACAAAAAATTACTTTTGAAAAAAAATTTTTTTAGAAAAAAAAATGTTTTCTTTATTTTGATATATTTTGGAAATTCTGAACTTTTTTTCAAAGCGTCGCCGTCTAACGGATAAACATTGGTACGGAACCCATATGAATGTAAACAAAATTTATACTTATTGTTAAAATCTCTATATAATATCTGATAATTTGATGTGCATATGTATAATGATCATTTTTGACCGCCAAATGGCATTTTTTTTTTACTTTTTTTACAAGATCTCCGAAACCGCTAGACCTGCCTTCATGAAAATTTGATCAGTTTTTCATCTTGTTAATACAAGTAAAATGTTTTTTGAATTATTCTAATCGGATGCTCCGTTCTCTTAAAAACTGAGTTACCGTTTTTGGCACTTTTTGCCCTGTATCTTTGGAACGGCTAGACCTGCCTTCACCAAAAACTAATCAGCACGTCTCCTTATCAATATGAATCGAATGTTTTTTGAATTATTTAAATCGGTTGATCGGTGTTCCCGAAATCGTCGACGAAAATTTGTATCCGCACATACATACACACACGCACACACACACACATGCACACACATACTTCCATTTTTTTAAAGTATGCCAAAATGTTCAGAAATCTCTGAAACGTAAAGATATATAAAAAATTTCATTTTTGATTTTTTTGCGATTACTATAACTTACCCTACAAGAAGTTAGTAAATTAGTGAAGCATGGCATTGTGTTTTAAAGTAAATTTCTGGAACTTTCCGTACTCAAATTTAAAACTTTTAAAAGCTTTAGTTTAAAAAAAATGAAAATTTTTAAATATGAAAAACTAATCAATAATGTCAGAAATGTCCTATAGAAATGGTACAGAACCCATAGAAATGGAAACAAAAATTGTACTCATTATTTAAATGTTCATAAAATATCTGATAATTTGATATCCATTTTTCAATGATCATATTGAACCACTGAATGACATTTTCATGGATATTGAATTTCCGAAACCGCTGAAACTGCCTTCCCAAAAGTTGAATCAATTTTTCATTCTCTCGGTACAAGTAAAATATTTTTTGAATCAAACAAAACGGGCGCTAAAGTGAAATTGCTCTTTTATGCCAAAAACTAATCAGCACGTCTCCCCATCAACAACAATCAAATGGTTTTTAAATCATTCAAATCGTTTGATCCGTATTCTCGAAATCGTCGACAAAAATTGTAAAAATTGTATCGCGACATACATACACACATCCACTTTTTTCTAATGTCTGCCAAAATATTCAGAAAACTTTAAAACTTAAAGATATATATTTTTGTTTTTTTTTTTGTGATTAAATTTTGGGAAGTTAAAAATTCTGAATTTTCTGAAAACTTAAATACAAAAAAAATTTTCAAGAAAGTCAATATTTTCAAAAATTCAAAATTCTCAGGAATCTAATTTTTCCGAAGTTATCAATAAAAAAATTAAAATTTTCAATTAGGGCATAGGAATTTTCAGCAATTTACCTTAAAGCACGATACCATGCATCACTAGTTTTGCTTATTTATTTGATTTTTTTTCGTGATATGCAATACCATCAAAATAAAGAATTTGTAATTTCAGTATTTTTATCTTTCGTAAAAACATTTATATTATTAAGAAATACCTTTTATTATTAAGAATAGCTTTTATTTTATTTGATTTATATTATATTTACTCAAAGAGAAGTATTATGAAATGACTTTCTAATTTATTCGGATAGATAGATAGATGAAAGATTATTTGTAAGGACAGAAGATTAGATTCGCTACAGTAAAAAATTAGTTAATTCCCCAAAAACTTAATATAAAATTTAAACGACATTAAGTTTAATAATACAATTATATAGGACAATTGACAATATTTGGAAAAAAAATTGTAATATTGTATATATTACGTTAAATTAGTAAAAATATAAAAGAATTTAAATTTAATATTTGAACTATTTAATAATATTTTTACTATTTTTTGATGATACAAATAATAATTAAAGACTTTCTTAAAATTCAGTTTTGAAATATTGCAAGGTTTAGGCATTACTAGCAAAGCTTATTCATTAAATGTTTAAAGAGATATTAATTTGTAGTAGCGATATTATGGAGCTACATAATTACCTAAAATATTATGTTATACTTAAATATGAAAAGCATTCAAAATTACTTCACAACAATAATAATTTCATAATATCGTCATTCAAGTATATAAACATTCCGGAGCATTGTAATATTCTTCTAAACGTGATCGGATATCTCTCTAAATAATTACCGATGAAAAAACTTGTAGATCCGTTTTTTTGTCTAAGAAACGGCAGCATGCATTCATTGCCAACATAATTCATTTTGAACTTGACCAACTTTGAAGAGTGTAAATATCACGAATAGATATTTAACTACGGAAAATTATTTATATGCGTCGAATGTTTATTGTCATGGTCAGTACCAATTCAAAGACGTGATTATTAATAATTGTCATATAAAAAATAAAATATTGTTTTCGAACTAAAATTAATATTATGTTTGAAGTTCAACGTTTATTGATGAATGTTGTATGGGAACTTGAAACTTAATCGGTCAAACGTGATAAATATATCAATATTTTGGGCTTTTCCGTGACCTAGTGGTCAAAGTTATGGTCTTCGAACCAGATGTTTCCGTCTCAGACAGCTTGATGTCATGCAATAGTGACATTGGTTTCTACTTGGAAATATGATAGCAGTATATTTTCATTTCGACATATTTTTTTAATTAATTTTCCAAATAGCAATCAACACAATTAACTATTCTATAATCTATTTAGATGTGCGTATCTCAAATCCTCAAATATTTGAGTTTGGCAAAAGAAAAAAGAAAAAATAGTTTCATGTAGAGCATCCAATACGATAAATCAAATTAAATCAAATGGCTATTTCTTCTTAAGTTCTAGGACCTGCATTGACGAGCAGTGGCGATAATGTGATGTTCATCACTTGCAATCTCTCCAAGTAAAAACAGCCCTTACCCAAAAACGTGTATCAATATTACAGAAAATGTAATAATAAATTTATCAAATAGTGATAAGGCAACCGCAGAGTTGCCTTCTGAAAAGCGAGAGAGTTCAGTCAATATCTTACTGAGGTATAGATAACATAAAAGTAAGGATATTGAAAGAATTTGTTAGGAAAAGCAATTGTTCTACTGACAAAATTATAACGCATTTTTTAGATTTGGATACTGGCCTGAATGTTTTCAAATATTAGAAGTTATGATTTTAAAACCAAGAAAACGGCTTCAATGTTACATCATACTAGACCAATTAGTTTACTGCCAATTATCTCCAAATTAGTGAAAGAACTATTATTAGCTAGCATAGAGAGGAGTATGATCTTCTCATCTTCTGGTCATCAATTTGGATTTAGAACCCAGTACTCAACAATACAACAATGTCATAGGTCCAAAAGACACTAAAATCAAATAGTATCCAAAAGATACTAGAAATAAAGGTATATTGTTCAGCAATATTGATCGACATTAAAGAGGCATTTGATAAAGTATGGCACGAAAGCCTATTCTTCAAAATAAAAAATTCTTTGCCGCACAAGATATTTTCACTATTTTACTATTTACAAGGAAGTTTTACTAATGTTACAACAAACGGAGTATTCGGAGCTAGAGTCCTTGCATCACCTTACAGGAACCTTAATATCTGATAGCTGTTCAAATAAAACCTACAAAACAGTGATGAATGCTTTCGAAACTCCCGAGTTCGATCCCTGCTCCAGCCTGATCTCAAGCAGTAGTGGCATCGGTATTCACTTGGAAATTTAGAAAGCAATTACTCCA